GAAACCCTACAAATATCATTTATGCACATTATGAATAGTTTATGCCCCAGTACTGATCCTTGAGGTACCTCACATTGTATCTCTCTTAGTCCAGATTTATATTGATTTATTAGTACAAATTGTTTATTGTAGCAATTAAAACATATTAATTATGACCAATAAGATGTGATATTCCATATAAATATGAAATATCAATCTGATTGATCTTTGAATGTTTTATCAGAAGATTATAGGGTTTTTAGCTTATTCAGGGACCATAAACACACTTCGTATTAATTCAGACAGAGTCAGTGTATAGTTTCTAAAATGAATTTAATTGTTTTTCCTAAACTAATGATGCATGACAAGATAGGACTAATGAGATGTGGTGCGGTAGATTGAGGTGTTTGATGGAAGCTAGATGTTATAGCAATCGTTCTTTGTATCTGAGAGAAATTGTGAAATCTGGGTGTAAAATAATTTGTTGTTTGTTATAAACTAGAGAGTTAGTCATTGATAAAAACCTCATCAGACACCAGTATGCAGGCTTACGATACCCTTTGTATGAGTTGCTCACGACGGTCTTGAGGTTTGCGGTCAGAATGGTGAGGTCACCGGACGTCGAAACCACAATACTCAGAGACTAGTAGCTTCCTCTGAGTTCAGCTTCCCTGGCCATGAGATGCATCCCGGGGTCTGCAGATTAGGTGTCCAAGGTGGATGTCTGAGGGTTGAAGTATCTCTGAAAAGAGCTGTTGTGTCTGTAATCACTTGCAGCGTCGCAGAAAGGTTTAGACTTAAGGTCAAAGGAGTTTGTTTCAAAAGTCGCTTCTTTCCCGATTTGGCCGAATTGGGGCTCAGCTGGAAACTGAATTACTCGGGAAGTAATTCTTGTTTCATTAAACTACTTTGTTATGATTTCTGGCCAAGTTTGGCCAATCAGAATGTGACACGTTTCTGAGTATTTACCAACATCCCTCAGAAAGCCACGCCTTCTTGTAAATACAAAGATCTTAACACAGTGAATAAAAATCTTTAAAACTCCTATGTGAAGTGCATATTAACCTTAATATGTATCTTATTGTAATGTGTATGAGTGTAAACAATGATTAACTTGTTAAATCAATCACATACTGATTTGTGATATAAATGGATCATTGTAAGAACAACATTCATTTTAAATTCATTGATTTAAGCATAGGTTATTCAAACATTTCCTTTAAACATCTTGTTCATCAATCACATATGACTATTTAACTTATACAATTATGGAGCCTTCACTTATTCAGAGCGAAGAATGTTGATGTCTGGCTTTCACAGAGAGTGCAGGAACCTTGGGAGAGAATGTTTGGATGTTTTGTCTTCTGTATGTAAACACGCGCTGAGCAGAACCTTCTGAACTTAGAAGGCCAAATAGAAAGTGGATTTATTTCTGTGGATGAACGTTTTTTTACGTTGGTCAATATATAGGGGAAAATTGACCCTTTCTGGACGTTACATTATCCATTCCAATACTATCCCCCTGAAACCGCATTTTCCCATTTTCCTTATCAATATGTCATGGTTAACTGTGTTGAATTCTTTCTTGAGATCTAAAATCAGCCCCATTGCATACTTCTTTTTATCAATGTATTCTGTTATTTCCTCAATAAGAGCAATCAGTGCCTGGACTGTCGACCTATTATTCCTGAGGCCATACTGGATTTCTGTCAGCAACTCATATTGATCAACGAAATCATCAAATCTTTTAAGATAGTTTTTCTAATATTTTGGAAAATTGTGACAATATTGACACTGGTCTACAATTAGCAAAGTAGCGGTTATCTCCTCTTTTGTAAATAGGAATTACTCTTGTGACTTTCATCTTATTCAGAAAAAACCCATTTTGAAAACAAAGATTACAAATTTATGTTAATGGTTTTATAATGCCCTCAATAACACTTTTCAGTGTAGTCATATCAATATCATTCCAGTCTGTACTGGTTTTATTCTTCAGATCTCTAACTATATTGTAAATCTCTTTCTCATCAACTGCTCTTAAAAATAAAAACAGACTTATTATTTCTTTCAACATAATCTGTAGCATTCAATTTTATCTCATCCACTTAGATTTTTTCCTCCAATTTAGGAGGATATGGACCATGGTTTAAAAAGTATTTGTTCGGGAAGTATTTGTTCAATTCAGCCACTGCTTAATTCATCATTGTAAATATTCTATTTTTTTCCTATGAAATAATGTGGATAATTATCATTCCTTATTTCTTTTCTGATTACACTTTATTTATTATTTAATACTTTCTAGATGCCTTTTATGTTGTTTCTATTATACTTTAACTTTTTAATAAAATATTCTTGTTTACAACTTCTCATTTTTATTAGTTTGTTTTTATATCTTGTATACTTATTTTCTGCTTCTGTGGCTCTATTTCTTATGAATTCACAGCATAGTGTGTTCTTCTTATTGCATACATTTTGTAGACCTTTGGTCATCCATGGTTTTATTTTGTACTTATTCCTCTGGACATTTTTAATCACTAGTCAGTTTCTTTCAAATTGACTTTTAAATATATTTAAAAAGGTATCATATGCTCTATTTACTTCAGTTCATAAATAAACAATATTCCAATCTTGCTTTAAAAGATAATTTTCAGGATTTTTTAACCTTTTAAAGACTATTTGGAGTCTTATTTCCTGATATTCAAGCATCTCAGCTCTGAAAAAACAAAAAGACTAAGTTTACTTGTGAAAACCTGAGGTAATCATTATCTGTTCATAATATTTTTTTACTTTTGTTATCATGTGGCTTACACTTATTGGTGTTTGTGACTATTTCATTTCATACATAGGTTCCAACCCCAGAAATATCATCATATTCTCTCCATCAACATTTCTAACTACACAGGAGTTTCCTCCTAAATGATGAATACGCTCATCAAAAATAACAAGAAGTCAAATTAACTTCTAAAAACAGAAAGACGTGTTAATGTAAGTCTTCATCACCACTGCACTGAAGATATGAACTGTTTTAATGATTTCAGCTCTGCTACAGTTGGGTAGAGTTCTGTGTGAAGATTATAAATATTATAACCACTATCAGAAAAGTCGTCCAGGCTCAGCAAATCTACAGCTCTTTCTCGGGCGAGAGAGTGGAAATGAGGCTAAACAATGACTTGTTTCTGCAGAGAAATGACTGAGCTTTCCCAAAAACATCTCATAGTGCAATTATATAACAACGCATGTAATAAACGGAGAACTCTGCATCAGAACGATAATATTTAGAAACCAGAAATCAGTTATTTGGTAGAAAAATTGGTTATTAAGTAAGAAACCCTGATGAAAAAAGTATGATTAATAAACTAGAAATTCAACAATAGGTGCAATACAGGTGACCAGAACGGGTCCATTTTCAGATTGGTAACCTTGAGAAGAAACCAACAGGCGTGTCACAGAAAAATCTGATTTTTTTGTCCATGTCTGTGAACACACCACACCATGTCTTCAATTTGGAAGGTGTTCATTGGTGATTAGAAGAGTCAAATATTGCATTTTATAATATATGCAAGGAATTAGAAAAATAAAGTCACATGAAACGCAAACACTTTTCTGCATAAGTATACCTGTTGCACATTTTGTTTACAGTTTTCCTTCATAGCACCAGCTGTGGCAAAAAGAGTAAACATTTTTATTCAGCTTAATTAAATTACTTTATAACTCACAAGAAAATGACCAATACTTACAGTTTTTGCAATCTTAATTCTAAGCACAATGTATCCAGTTAGAAATAAATTAATGAGATAATCTCACACAGATGAGTAAATCCATTATGCTTCTAAAGTGTAGGAAATTACTGATTTTGCACAGAAAAATGCTTCTACTGGTGCACTTGTTATCAGTGCTTGGACAAATTGAATAAAATATAACTTTTATTTTAATAGTGCTAATATTTTTGCCCAGGGATTTGAACTATTTTATTTTCTTTATTTCTGTTACAAAGACCCTGTAAACTGGTGCTGATTTGAAGAGTACTTCTTTATTAAGTCCTCTTTATTATTTATTAAGTATTCACACCCCATCCCGTTCACTCAGATCTTCTTCTTCCATCCATCTTGCGGTTCCTTCTGCCCGTCTCGCTACCATGGGGAGCAGAGCTTTCAGCCGCTCTGCTCCTCGACTCTGGAACTCACTTCCCCCAGACATCAGGAACATCGACAGTTTTACCCTTTTCAAATCAAAACTCAAAACACATATGTTTAAATCTGCCTACAACCTCTGATTTTATTGAACTGTTTCTCTCTTTGTTTTTTCTTGTTTGGGTTTTATTATCGTTTTATTGTATTTTATTACGTGTTTTCTGTCAAGTGACCTTGGGTGTCCTGAAAGGCGCTTCTAAATAAAATGTATTATTATTATTATTTATAACCCTTTTTCTTTTTTATTAATGAACACACACTCAAACTTTCAATTCAAACAAATATTATGAAAACACAATTTGTGGGCTCGTATTTTATAAAATGAATCCTAAAACTCATATTTTTCGTGCATAGTTTTTTGTTGAGGTACTTGAGATGAATAAAAAGAAATACACAGAAATACAAAATTAAGTGGTGCTGAGCTCACTGAAGCATGCAACATCTTTAGAGGGGCCATTAGACGACCATTTAGTAGAATAATACTATTAAGAAATGAGGTGTGACAACTGAGTATAGCTCAGGAAAATGTTTGGGTGAGTGTGTTCGAGTCCAGATGAATGGTTCTGCAGCTAAAACAAGACTCAATCATGAGACACAGACTAGGAGTCAACAGGACATATTTAGCACAATCTGTATTATAGTTTCACTCAGAATAACAAAAATACCAGTTTAGTATAAAACTGCTGTGTATGATTATCATGTATTTGATTGTTACAAAAAGACTCTCAAGCTGAGACCTTTTTTATGTTTATACCTTCACAGGCCTAACTTTATTTCATTAGAATATGAACTAAGTTGTATTAAAAACACCAATTAGCCATGCAATCTTACCTTTGTACTATCAGAACAACCAGCTCTGTTACAGACCCTCAGCTGGTAAACGTATTCCTGAAACGGTCTGATGCCACGAACATCAGTGAAAACTTTGTCATCTCCACGGTAACGCTCTTGTCCATCACGGAGGATAACATAATGGGTGATCAGTCCTGGTAAAAGGGGAAACAAGAGCTTGATTAAATAAATATTGTTAGATTTTTTTATTCTCCCAGCTTCTTTAAAAAGGAATGTAAGGGAGCATTTTACATAAATTATTATAACATCATTATGTTTGTAACAAGCGCACTAACCATTAGGTCTTGCAGGAGCTTGCCATTGTAAATGGATGACATCCTCTCGATCACCAAGCCGACTCCAGAGGGGTGGGGCCAACCCCCATGGGATGTCCTCACTGGTCGTGACTGTTGTGATACCGCTGTAGCCTCGGCCGAAGCTGTTCCAGCCTCTTACCCTGTACTCGTAGGTAGTGAAGGGCTCCAGATCAGAGTCTAGATAACCAACAACAGAAAACAGGGAAAACATTACATTAAAGGTGTCCTATGCTTGTTATTACATCTGCTGTGGTCGCCAGTATGAGGTTTTTCTGTGGGAAAAAAGCTCTGGCGCTCTATTTTTCGTAGCAGGATGCAAAGTTTACATCGTTCTTATAGAGTAAATGTTTGGCAGATGCGTTTGTTTACATTTTTGCTGCTGTGTGGTTGCGCAATGTGAAAGAAGGGAGGGGGGAAGCAATGCTGCACACTCAGGGTCTCTGCAGGCTGCAGAGCAGGAGCGACAGACAGGTTGTATGATCGGCTCTGAAAGGCGTTAATCAGAATTAGCAGATTAAGTTATTTTTTCATGGATATGGACCATGGATTCTACTTGTGGTTGGGGGACTGGGAATCAAAACTAGGAATTGCATTGAAAAACTTGAACAATTCCGGGAAAAACTGACAGTTAGTCCCGGTTCCAATCAATGCTCGATGCCCAACCACTGGGAGCACTGGACTCCAGCTGAGTCTAGCCGCACCTCCAGTTGACTCACCTGCCAACATGAAACATAAGGCTCGGCCACTCGCTTCCTTGAAAAAATGTTTTCCCCTTTTTTCTAGTGATTGCAGTGGACAGGAAACCCCCCAGCCTGCTGCAGTTTCTGTGTTTGCCCCTTCTCCTAAGTGGTGAGTCTACTGTGTACTTCTCAACGTGATCAAATCGAGAGCTTTGCTTTCTGGCTCAGCTCTCTCCACCACGACAGATCAGTACAACTCCCGCATTACTGCTGACACAGCATCAATCTGCCTATAAATCTCACATTCCATCTATCCCTCACTTATGAACAAGACCCTGAGATTCCATGCTGTAGTTCTTTTTTAAAACACAGAGCAGTTTTGGTTACCTGTTTTCCCGCTACGTTTCGTTTAGGGTTGCAAACTTCCTCAGGCTGACACTGATGGTGGTGTCACTTCCTTCTCTGTTTATCCACCACCATCAGTAACGCCACCATCAGCGTCAGCCTGAGGAAGTTTGCAGCTGCAAACGAAATGTAGCGGGAAAACAGGTAAACATAACTGCTCTATGTTTTAAAAAGAACTACAGCATGGAATTAGAGATACGACACAGCAAGAACACACCTAAGAAGACTCTGAGATACTTAAATTCCTCCACTTGACGCAGGACCTTATCCCTGACCAGGAGAAGGTATTCTACCCTTTTCGGACTGAAGACCATGGTCTCGAATTTAAAGGAGCTGATTCTTCTCCCAGCTGCTTCATACTCGGCTGCAAACCACTCCAGTGAGTGCTGTAGATCACGTTCTGATGAAGTCAACAGAACCACATGATCTGCAAAAAGCAGAGAGTCAATTCTTAGGACACCAAAACGGATTCCCTTAACACTTTGGTTGTGCCTAGAAATCCTGTCCATAAAAGCTATGAACAGAATCGGTAATAAAGAGCAGTCTTGGTGGAGTCCAACTCTCATTGGAAACAAGCCTGACTTGCAGCAATGCAGACAAAGCTCTGACACTGGGCATATAAGGACCTAACAGCCCGTATCAGGGAGCCTGGTACCCCATACACCCGAAATACCCCCCAAAGGGACCCAGAGGGATGCTGTCAAATGCCTTCTCCAAATCAATAAACACATGTAGATGGGTATAGAGCTGGTCCACTGTTTCACAGCCAGGAAAAAAAAAAAACACATTGCTCCTACTGAATCTGAGGTTCGACAATCCGCCGGACCCTCCTCTCTAGAACCCCTGAACAGACTTTACAAGGGAGTCTCAGGAGTGTGATCCGCCTGAAGTTGGAACACATCCTGTCCCCCTTCTTAAATAGGAGGATCACCATCCCAGTCTGCCAATGGAATTGTCCCTGGCATCCATGCGATATTGCACAGCCGCATCAGCCAACACAAAACCCTACAACATCCAAAGTCTTAAGGAAATCTGAGTGGATCTCATCCACCTGCAGAGCCTTGCAACCAAGACGTGTTTTTAACACCTCATTGACTTCAGCACTGTCACCACTATAAACAGTGTTGGTAGAGCACTGCTTTCCCCACCTCACCTCTCCAGATCTCACTGTCGTTTCCTACATGGGCGCTAAAGTCCTCCAGCAGAACAAGGCAGACACTGGAAGGACACTCTCCAGAACCTCCTCCAAGGACTCCAAAAAGGGCAGTAGTTGGAACAGTAGTTTATTGCATAAGCACAGACGACAGTCAGCACCCATCCCCCCACAAGTAGGCGGAGGGAGGCTACATACTTGTTCACTGGGGTAAACCCTGATGTACAGGCACCAAGATGGGGGACAACTAGCATACCCACCCCTGCTCAGTGGGAGCAACTCCAGAGTGATAGAGTGTCCAACCTCTCTCAACGAAACTGGTTCCGGAGCCAGAACCATGCGTCGAGTTGAGTTCAACAATATCTAGTCGGAACCTCTCAACTTCGCACACCAACTCAGGCTCTTTCCCCACCAGAGAGGTGACATTCCACGTACCAAAAGCCAGCTTTTGTAGCTGAAGATCAGACCACCCAGGTCCCCGTATTCGACTACCACCCAACACACATTGCACCAGACCCCTTTGGCCCCTGGGAAGGGGGATCCACGATTTCTCTTCGGGCTGTGAACAGCCGGGCTCCATGGGTGAAACCCGGCAACCAGGTGCTCACCGATGTGCCCCACCTCCAGTCCTGGCTCCACAGGGGAGCCCTTTTTACCCATGTCTGGACAAGGGAACACTGTTTCCATTTGTATCATTCATCATAAGGGGTCTTTGGGCAGCACTTTCTCTGATCCCTCACCTAGGACCTATTTACCATGGGTGACTCTACCAGAGGCAATAAGCCCCAGATAACATAGCTCCTAGGATCACTGGCACACTCAAACCTCACCACCATAAGGTGGCAACCCAGGGAGGGGCCTTTAAGATTCAATAAAGCAAAAATCTACTTTAAAAATGCACATGCAACCACACCCTTAACAGTAAAGTCCCCCCATAAATGTACCACCATTGGTGCAAAGTTGTAAACGTTGGGCCATCACCAAAGTCCCTTGACACACAGGTTGTTACAGCCCTTCTGTAGCTACAGGAGCATATATACATACGAATGCACTTGCACACATATACTTGCATTTATTTTAGGAGTATAAAGGGACTGCTGTGCTAAATGGCCATGTTGTAATTGCCAATATGGGCCTCTTGTCTTTACTACTGTCATAACTTAAGTAGGAAACACAGTGGAGCGCAGATGTAAATAAAACACTGAACATGTTAGTAGAGATGTGTGCAAAATGCTCTGCTTGGTCGTAAAATGTTTTAAAAATAGGTCGTGGTTAGACAAGGCAGTATATTTTTGGCCATCACTGCAGATGTGGAGATAATTAATTTTATGTTTTTTCAGAGCTGCAGAGTAGAATATCATGATACCCTGTGTGAGAATGTGTGCATGTGCGCACATGAGAAACATCTGGTGTATGGTGGGTGGCGACAGCTTTATGTGCCTCTGCCCAGATGGTGTCACAGCGTTGTGTAGAAGCTCTTATCCTAACTGCCCCATGCCACGAACACAAAGTAATCAAAGCAAATACACACAACTACATTCATTACAGAAGTACACAGCAACGATACCAACAACCTGAATTTGAAACACACCAGATATATGCAATCATGGATGCCACATCCAAGAGAATCAACAGTGTCAACAGTTAGTCTTAATAACACAGTTTTAACCACCAAATGAATTCACAAAAACACAGACATAATTGTGCTTCTTTTGGGCTGATGAATAGCAGATAATGCTGAATGAGCATCTAAATGCCCATTTTTAAGTTTAAACGACACACAAGTGTACAGCACAGTGTGAGTTGGCTTAAAATACTGCAACAGCAGTCTTCGTTGTATCTGTAATGTATTTACCATGACAAGTAAACATAGACGTCTACTTTTACCCCACCTCCTCCAACACACCTGATCTCAATCAGCAGGTGATTAACAGGCGTCTGCGAGCCTGAGCTGCTGCAGGTGATTCAACCACTAAATCAAGTGCTGTTACATAATCTTGTCTTTTCCAGCTCTAACTCAAACATTTAATTGAACCCAAAAGGGTTTTAGACAGGAAATATTTTTCATACCAATCAAATATCAGCCCACTTGTTGGCGAATCCCCGCCGGAAGGAGCCGGTGATCTGTCAGAACCCCTGTTCTCCGACAGGTGCACCTCTGACCGTTATGTGCTGGTTCACAGATGCGCAGTCACGCTTGACTCGATTAATACACTAATGATTTATTCAAAAACATATGATAGTAATCCAGTCACTACAAACAGCAAAAGAGGATGACACACACTTTATTTACAATTGCCGTCTGTCCATGGTGCTGAAAGAAAAAGACGCATCACCTGCGTTATTGGATGAGCTGATTAGTTAAATAAAACAAATGGTTATTATTCTTTAAAATAAATATCAGTGACCTTATGATAAAACCTAATATTAGCAAAAAGTTAACGATTTGATAGTTTTTAAGAGGAGATTGTCTCAGGAAAGTCTATCTTTGAAACACACCCCTCGCACACTGATAAGTTGTGGCCTTGAGTTAATAACTCGTTCCCACGCACTAAGGATCTCGTGGCCACGAGTGAATTTTTTCCCCTCAAAGTCACCAGACGGGCACCGTAGAGTACACATCCAGGGTTTTCCTTGATCATTTAGGTATTTTCCATTATTTGTTGTTATTAAAACAATTATAAATAGTTTTATTGATCCAAAGTGTGAATTTTTCATATTTCTTTACAGTTTCAAGTAGGTATAAGTAAGACTTTTTGTACAAAAGTTGAAAATTATTGCATCAGAAGTGTAGTATATTTTAGTTGACTAATATTAAAACAAATTGGATGACCAAATCGTGACAAGAATAAAAAAAAGTTTTGTCCAAAATCCAAGACTAAAACTAACTAAAATGTTCTTGTCAAAATTAGCATGGACTCAGATATCAATGTATATGTATTCTAATTACTTTTTAACACATCTATAAGCGGTGGCACGGAGTTAGACCTCTTTACACAGAAAAAGCAGCAAGTGCGGCATCACATCACTCTGTTGTAGAGATGTTACTGGTTAAAGAGCAAGTCACCCTCCAACTCTAACTGCACTCCCATTTCCTGTTTGAAAAATGCACCACATAGAGGCGTTCTCTGTGTCTACAGCACGATTAAAAACTTATTTATATAGATTAGCAGCAAAAAAAGTAGATCTGGGGGTGACTTGCTCTTTGAACACCAGCCAAGGTTAACACAGAAGGTACATCACAGAAGTTCTGTTTATTAACAGGGTTGTTAAATGTTAAAATAAAGTGAATTAAATAAAAAATAAGAAATGTCCTGGATCTGTTTCTTTGCTTTTTATTATTTTTTATGTACGTGATATGGAGGTATCGGATGGGTACTCGGTATGCTCAAAATCAAATGACTTGGACTTGAGGTCAATAAAACCTGATCTGGACATCCCTAGTTTTTGACAAGTCAAGAACTTAAAAATTGCTTCATTTCTTTGCATATTAAAAAAACAGCCTGCTCAGATGTTGACAGTAAATATTTTGCACCTCAACAGAGGAGCCTCTCTTACTGGTAATCCCTTGTTTGAATGTGTGAGTGAATCTGGTCCTATGAATGGATACAGGTTGAGGTGTCAGATGTGCTGGAGTGTGAAGCGGAGGTGAGGATCCACACGCGGGTGAAGAAGGTAGGCAATCAGACATGAACGGTTAAAGGCTTTAATAATAAACACGCTGACACTGAAACAATGATCCAACACGAGACACAGAACTGAAGGGGTTTAAATACAAGAGGGCTGGGAGCTTGGGTGATTGGAAAACGAGTGGCAGGTGGGAGCAATTAACAGAGACACATGGCTGAACCAAACGGGGAGACAGGACAGGGTGTGACCATAGACATTAATATATGTTTATTAATTTTATTAATATTATTAATAATGTATATATTAATATATAGGGTGTGACATGAGGCATGAAACTGATTAGTTGGCATGATGGCCTTCTTCCTAAATTCCTTTGTATTGTATTATTTAATTTTATATAACATTATGTTCACAATTATGTTTATATAATATACTTACATGCATATTAAATTATTACTTTCTATTAAAATTCCTTCATCTTTTTCTGTTTGGGCTTTTCCCCTCAGTGGTCGCCACAGCGATCATCAGTCTCCATTTAGTCCTACTTAAAGTTCATTACGATGAATGTTTAGAAAAGTTGGAAAAAGGTAAAGTGAGATTTTACACGATTCTAAAAACAATGCAAATTTGAAAATGACGGAATTAATTCAGAAAAGTACAAATTACAACGAAGAACAAAGTAGGAATAACCAGCCTGGTGGTTAAGTGAAGTAACGAGTCACTGAGATTTCACACTCAGAATTAGTTCAGGTTTTAAAGTCAAAAGTGATACCAGAAAAGAGAAAAGCAGAATTGGTTTTACTTGAATTAACTAACAACAATAATAATAATATAAACTCAGCAGTTAACTAATCTACTAAACTGATAAATCTGTAAGCACAAGTGACGCAGGGATGATAAATACATGGTGAATTAATCTAATTTCCTCAATAATAATGTTTAGAAGCACGCATTACTTACCTGTGAAGGTGTTTACACTGGCATCTGTGCTGTACACCACCTCTTCGTGTGACGGACACAGATTTCCCCCCAAATGTGTGTTCTCTGTTGGTGTGTGACTCTTCGTGTCGTCGGTTGTGTAAGTCGTATTACTTCTGTTTGTTTGTATCGAAGGGAGGGTAGTGAGTGTTTCCTGCAAGGTGCTGATGAATGGCGTGTGTGTCGTGGGTTGTGTGTCGACGTGTTTGTGTGAAGTCAGGATCCATGTGCAGGCTGTCAGAGATGGATCAAGGTCACAGGATCCACAGTAAGCTGTAGCTGCTGCAGCCACGGGACACACGGTGGGCTGTAAACACTGATGCTGCAAAGAAACGGAGAGAGGGGGAGAAACAGGAAATACAGAGATAAAAAAAGACTAAACAGGCATTAAAAAAACAGTGACAAACAAATAGGAGTTAAAGGGGGAAGACTGGATAGGTCTCATGTAAGTTTCACTAACACAAATATTACGTGTGCTCATTTCTGCGAGTGCGTTTCCCTTACATGCGCCTTAATGACATCATTAGAGCTAATGAGCATTCCCGCCCTTTTGTCTGTGTTTGTGTGTATGTGTGACTGCATGCGCCGCCTCATGCTGACTTGGGAACACACACACGCCACATGACCCCAGGTGATAAATGGTGGACGGGATGTTCTCCAGCTCCTGATGTGACAACAAAAGTGGGTTTTACAGGCAGACGGCAGGACTGAAAGATTCAGACCAAACCTTAATGTCCACCAAGCTGCAGGAGTCAGTTCAAACACAAAGAGTCAGTGAGTCAATGTTCAGTGTAAACTCCAGAGGAAAATCTCACTTCACAAGCACCCGAGTACCTGGAAAAAAAAAATCCAATCTATGTATGGAACATGAAAGAACATCTCCACGCAGAATGGTTGTAGCCAACTTTCACTAAAAGCTGTCAGTGACTCTCAGCTACTGCTACATACATTTCGAATCCAACAAGTGGAAACTTGACTGAATTCCAGCCAATAGTTCAGTTAGCTGTGGCATCAGCCTTCAGTGGGGTATAACCCCAAAAAGCATTAGCAAAGTTTTAGGAAAACTTTAGTGCTCAGATTATGTCTTGGAGATAATTTGCAGCTACAAAGACACCAGATTTAACTCCAATATCTGTAAATCTATCTTTATTAGGGTACAATTTCTCTGGATGTTGTTGCTATCTGCGATCAGGCTGAAGTTGTAGGGGTACAGATGCGCAGTCACGCTTGACACAATTAAAACACTAATGAGTTATTCAAAAACATATGATGTAAGCCAGTCACTAAAAGAGGAGGACACACACTTTATTTACAATTGCCGTCTGTCCATGGTGCTGACAGAAAGATGCATCACCTGCATTATTGGATGAGCTGATTAGTTAAATAAAACAAATGGTTATTATTCTTTAAAATAAATATCATTGACCTCATGATAAAACCTAATATTAGCTGAAAGTTAATGATTTAGGTGTAAATCATTTCTAAATGAGTGAGTCAAATGCAGTTTTATGAAAAGGTTGAAGCGCATGTGCTGTTTCTTTTAAAGGAGTCAGAGTATTCAGCAGGAATGCTTGGCGCTGTAAAAAGAAACCTTCTAATAGGTTACATCAATCAGTACAGAAATACGGAGATGGAACACACCTGCATTGATAACCCAGGTGTGGGTTGATCACCACAAACATATCGTTGGGGGTCAAAACCAATCCCATTGCAGCATTTTTCTTCCTGATGTATGACCTTTGACCCACAGCACTGTAGCATCACTGTGATGTTGCCTGCAGGATGTGTTGTTGAATATCCTTCATTGTCCGTGCAGCAGAGGGAGCTTGAAGAGTTTATATATTTGTCATCGCAGCAGACAAAACCTGAAGAGAACATTCAAGATGTTATGGTTTACAAAGAGAACAAACTATTTCAGTTTCTTTAATTTCGTATTGTATAAACATCTGTCTTTAACTTCCACTGAACTGCATGCTGAGTTTTGCTCCACCTTACTTGCCAAACTCCGCAGTTTTCCTTTTTCCATCTGATCTGCAGAGAAACCACGCATACGTCTGTGCAGAATATTGTCGCATTTATTCTCTTATCACTCCTATATACATCCACCTTTCCTATTCTCTCCATCCACCCCGGCATATCTCTGTTCCTCTCTTATATTCATGGCTCAGCAGTAATATTCAAGCCGCACTGTTGAACGAGTGTAAAGTAAGAGGAAGTGTGTTTTTCCTGAGAGCTGCCATTCCTGACAGTGATAGGTGATGCCTGTCTGCCACTGCATCACCTTCAGCACCAAGGTGACATTTAGAATACATGCTATCACTCTCCAAATGTTTAGCAGCAGACGATCACATTTAAAAGGCCTTTTCTCACATTATCCAGAATTCTACTTTTCAGAGTGAAAGACGTAACTTGAGTTGCAACAAATCACTGGTAAAAAATAAATAAAAACAACTAAAACTGCTGAGGTGGCTGCAGGTTCAAGGCAGAAATGCATCCTGGGGGAAATGTTTCCTGATTTTGAGAACGTGTTAAATATCAAACCACTAAACTTGAATGACTTTAGCTATAATGGTTCAGGTCAGTGGGAACTGTAGGTCTAGTTTCTCTAAAGGAGGCTGGAGGACAGCAACGTATGCTTTTGTTTTAGCTGTAAGCTTTTGGGAATTTTGTTGTATTTCCTTTTTATCTTTTATCTGTGTTCGACATGTTTGTATACCGCCGGTTTGATTAACTAACATCTTTAGTGTACAGCGCCTTGTTTGGTTGTAATGCCTTGTGAATGCGCTTTATAAATAAAATTGGATTGGATTGGATTGTCTGATTGCAAAAATAGAAAAATGAAATGCTGAAAATCCAAAAACTATATCCATCAGAACTTTCTAATCTCGACCCCTGAGATGCTTTTCATGTCTTTAATTGTTTTGAGGGAAAGCATTATTCAAACATTTTAAATCACCCTTCCTTCCTTCCTTCCTTCATTTTCGTTTCTGACCATTGCAGCTAATGGTTTGTTGGCAGCTTGAAAAAAGGAAGGAATGAGTCAAATTAAAAACCAAAAATCTGTCAAAGGTTCAGTTGATCATTTAGGCCTTCTGCTAACAGAAAATTGGATCTGACAAAACAATGTTTGGTATGGTGTCTTTGTGACAGACTGCAGATAAAAAAGGCACCAAAGACTGTTCTTTTTGAGCGACTGTGGCTCAAGGGTTAGGGAGTTCTCCCTGTAATTGGTGGGTTGAAGGCTCAAACCCAGGCTCTGTGTCAGCTTGTGTGCCCTTGGGCAAGACACAAGAAACTTCACCCTCCTTGCCTGCTGGTGGTGGTCAGAGGGACAGCTGGCGCCTCATGCTGTCAGTGAGCACCAGGGCAGCTGTGGCTACGATGTACCGCCAGTGCATGAATGTGTGTGTAAATGACTGTACTGTAAAGCGCTTTGGAGTCCTCTGACTTAGAAAAGCACCACTATACAAGTATACAAAACTATATTATTAATGCAAAACTGATTTACTCCTTGAGTTTAATTGCCTTTTAATGTCTGAATGATACATAAGTCAGCATTAATCAGCATAAATATAAAAATAAAACACTTTTACCAACTTCTTTTATTTAAATTTGGCATTGTTTAAGTAACAGAAATACAATTCTCAATTGTAGAGCAAATCTATGTCAAAACTAGGTGTGGCATCATCATCTGCTCTCAAGAGTCACGTGTTTATCCTTCAATGTCAAAATGTACACTGCATAAGATGACACATGCCTAGAACCCGCAACAGCTCTCACCATTTTCTGTTCGTACTGGAACATCTAATGCGGTTTGTGCTGCTGGGACAAATTCTGTCCTTCCCAAAGTTAATAGTGAGTGTGTCCACTTGGAAAGCATAACTGACCTACAGAGTGACACGACATTGGCATCACATGCAAATGAGCAAAGCTAAACCAAATGTCACTGTCATGGGTTCCCCTGTGCAGCTGCTTCACGCTGTGCTCTGCAAGACACCGCCCTAGGTAGCGCCGCTAAACCCGCGTCCACACCTAAACCCACAACTGGTGCTGGGCTTTGGCCTTGCATTGGATTAAGATCATAATACACACTGATACTGAGTCAGCAGCTCCCAGCTGTGATGTACATTATAAATACAAAGCTGGACTAAAATCATTGGAGAATGACAATTGATGCGGTAAAAACCTCTGATAAAAAAAGTGAGACTTCCAGATTGAGGATTCTTTAAGTCCTGCATTAGAATCGGGTTTCATCATTAAAAACAATCTGTTTTCTTTTTGTTGATAAACAGAAACATGGAACATTTACCCCCAGCTGTAGTGCCCACTGTGTTAAACAGCAGAAATGAAACAGTAGGTCACTTCCTTATATAAAGGCCACAGCCCTTTAATGAGGCTGCAGCTATTTATGAAGTGATAAATAACTTATTGTTTCTCGCTCTAATCAGCATTCACACTCAGAGCACATTAATCGCTGCTAATTTAAGCAATCATTCCACTTAAAGGCCAAAAGTTGAGAATGGTACATATTTTCTACCGTGCTGCTGCAGTCAATTACGTCCTCAACGCATCCATCACAGGCGCCGTGTGACAGGAAAACGCGTGTGTATGTGATTGTGTGACATAAAGGCAGTCTGACAGCTGGTAACTCACTTAGCAGCGGCAGCTGTTGCGGATCGTCGCGGGGTTTTGGTGGCCAATTCCCTCTGCGCTTTAATTCAGCTTCAGTGACGCGCAAATAAACAGCTCAACACATTTCCAAAATAGCGTCTCTCTGCTCATCCCTCGTTGTCTCTGCATCCTTACCTCTTCCAATCAGGCGGACGTCTTACATCCACTCAGTTTTCACTCCCCTTTATTTAATCCTTGAAAAGCCAATAATTATTCATGTGTCCTCAGCTGGGCCAGAACTAAACCCAGTTTTCTGTGGTGATGAATCCTGAAGGCACGAGAAAAAGAGGCTAAAAATATAGTTTTTATTTTTTATTTACTCTAAATCTTCTGAATGCACTTCATATGAATAATCTGTATCTCTTGCATCTTGTTTATTCTAGATCAGATTATTTTAAGTCAAGCATGAAGTGGTCAGGAGAATGATACATGATAAATGACCTGCACTTGTACAGCGCCTCTCAGAGTAAGGACTACAAAGCGCTTTACACTGCAGAGTATCATTCATCCATTCACACACATTGATGGTGATGAGCTACAATGTAGCCACAGCTGCCCTGGGGCGCACTGACAGAGGCGAGGCTGCCAAGCACAGGCGCCACCGGTCCCTCCGACCACCACCAGCAGGCATGGTGGTTAAGTGTCAGAGAGTTTGACCACAAAAAGGTGGAATGTGAAATTGGGATTGTGTCACGGCCTCAACAGAAAGATGGCAGACAGGTTGGGGCTTTGACTGTTTTAATAAGGCAGCAGTGAAGAAAGAGCTGAACAGCAAACATCTGGTCTACAGGTCTGTCTTGAATCCAACCCTCACCTGAGGTCACATGATCTGGATTGTGACCAATTTTATAACATCCCGGATAAAAGTGATTGAAATGAACATTCCTGCAGGGTGACTTGGCTCAAAAGCTATGGTTCCACTTTAGGAGTTCAGGAAATTTGTGGAAGGTTGGGAGGGCGACGGGGAAATGCACTGGCCTGGTCCTCTCAGTCTTCTTCATTCATAATCAGCTCTTTGTTGAGACGTCAGCATATCACAACCATTTTGACAATGGGTGATGTCACTGGTCATCCATGGACATTAAACCTTAAAGTTGTGAACAGTGTGTATTTTTCCTGGCAATAAGGGGCAGTAGATAAATCGTTGAAAGCAAGCAGTATTTTTGTGTTGGAGTGAGACGATACCAAGGGCAAAAATCCCTGGAGAGCGCAAACTTTAGTTAATAACAAGCACATCAGACTCCCTTTTATGTTACGAAGCCGCCAATATTTTTCAACAACTGGGCATCACTTCATTCATTTTCAGCAACATTTTGATGGCTCTTTCTAGAAATGAATAGTAAAAACTACACATGGTCTCTTTAAGAAAAGTTTGATTCTGTCCAACTATGCCATGATTTAATCCATTCTGGGGACTGGGAGAGCAGCTGTGTATGGTAAACCAGAAAAAGCGTATTTTTTACAGAAACAAAAAACTCAGCATTGTTGGGCAGATTTTCATAGCATTTTTCTGGCGTTGAGATTTTAGAAACTGCTATTTTAAAGCTGCGTGAACGTTGCTCCCCCCCCATTACACTTCAACAGCAACTCTTCCAATTTATGGTTGTTTGGCAACTTCTGTCGACATAATTTCCTACTGAGTTACAACCAATCGGCATGAATCAGGCACACATTCTGCCCAGTGACTCTATCAGGAGCTTCCCGAGTACATACCCCAGTTCAGGTATCTGAAATGGCTCTGAAAGGTGTGCTGTCAGGCCGGCCTCTCAAAAGGGAGACATGATCACTTTGCAAAGGTCTAGTAGAATTACCCAGAGGTTCCAGTAGTGGAAATGGGCCTAAAGGTGAGTTTGGAGTAGAGCTGCTGCTTCTCGTCATGAAAAGCAGTCAGCTGAGGTGGTTCAGGCATCCGACTAGGATGTCTTTCATTCACCTTCCTCTGCAGGACTTACGGGAAGGATTATATATCTTCTTTGGCTTGGAACACCTTAGCATACCCCTGAAGGAATTTGAAAGTGTTGACAGACATTGAATCGGTTACTGTTTCAATCTGACCATGAACATGGGCAGACGGATTAGTTTTTTCATGAAGAATAGATTGAAGTATTTCCCCGAGTTCCTACACTTGTCTTTCCACCATGAATCTACTTGCTCCCTTCTAAACGTCCTTCATGATTGTTTCCTACTCTCTCCA